GGGGCAGAGTGGTGACTGTGTTAAAGATGAAGCACTACAGGACATCTAAAGGGAAGTCCAGTGGGTAGTTGACTATCAGGTCCTTCATTCAACAGACATACTGTAGTTTGTCACTGAAGTTAAGGAATGGTCAGGTTACCCAGGAACATGATAAGAGGCCTAAGGATCACCATTCAAAGGACAGGGACATCTGGACACTGTTTTAAATGAATTAATATGAGCCCAACTACATATACATCGTAACTCAAGTCATTTTTTTATTTTTTCAGGTATTTGAATCGATTTAGTGGTGAGCTGGAGCAGATTGAGTTACATAACAGCGTCAAGGACAGACAGGGAAGGCGGCATCATTCTCGAGAGTCAGCGATCAAGCAGACGATGGCGCGGGAGCGGCAGCAGTATGAAGGCTATGGCTTTGGTGTGTCTTCTGCGGTCCATTTTGCCTTCTTAAGATAGTGTTATCCCATTTGTAATTCACGGCACAGGTTTATTTTTATTCTGCTGATTGTTTTCCTTTGATTTCCTTTTCTTGTTTGTAGAATCCTTTTTGGATTCATGTCCCCCCCCGCCTTTCCAGCGAAGCTGTCAGCACTGACACTTGGCACTGTCTGTCTGCAGTGTCAGCGGTGTGTCCCTTTTCTTCTAGCGCATACCTAACTTGTCTTGGGGGTCATTGCTTGCCTGTCTATAAGCATAGCTGTTTCTGTCAACTCCATGTGGTGTCCTTGTCTTTGTAATTCTTGCTCTGCGTCACTGTTCTTAGTATCCCAAGAAACTGTAGACATCAGGTTTTTTTTCTTAGCACTGTAGCACTGTACTTAGTTCCAAAGACAAGTATGTTGCTAGTGTGGCAGCAGAGCAGCACTTACAGGTGAGGGCACTAAGGCCGGTAGAACCTCATATGGTGGCTGTTCATGGCCTGCAGTTGATACTTGATTAGCTTGCTTATTTATTTATTTATTTATTTATTTATTTATTTATTTATTTAATTTATTTACTTATTTATTTTTAATGAACATTTTATCTGAAAAATATATATTTGTGGCTTAAGAAAGCAGATGTCCCAACAATAGACTCTCCAGTTGGGAGCAGTAGCTATCCTTTCCAAACCTGGGCATGTGTTCTACTTTGTCATGGTCCTGACCCTGCCCTTACTCAGATTTCTTCTCTGTTTCCTGTAGGCATTAATGTTCTCTGCATATTCCTGGCCAGTATAGTAATTGAAATACATAATAGCAAAATTAAAGTTTTTGAGTTTTAATATAGAGATTGTGAATGTCTAGGCCCCCCAAAAACTGTTCTGCATGTAGTACTAGAAACTGAAGTGTGCAGCAGCTCTTCGTTATTGATAAAATGTTGCTTCTTAACTAAAAATATAACAGCAGAGAATAGCTGTAGAACTAAACATACCCATCCTTGTGGCCCAGTGGATAAGAGAGGCAGGTAACTTACTAAAACTTAAGGCCCGATTGTTCAAAAAGTTGAGTTAACCCCAAAAGTAGCTGTTGCTAGAGTGGCCTATGAATAAGTCAAAAATGGATATAAATAGAAACCAGGGACAAGATCTGAGCCAATGTTTATTTTGCTCACATGAGATTATTCAGCTTATTAGACTATACAGCAATGGCCAGTGAACTAGGAAGATACCAGGAAAAGTCAGGATTGTGGCGCATGCCTTTAATCCCAGCACTCAGGAGGCAAAGGCAGGTGGATCTCTGTGAGTTCAAGGCCAGCCTGGTCTACATAGTGAGTTCAAGGCCAGCTGGGGCTACAGGGAGACCTTGTCTCAAAAAGACCCCTCCCCCTAAAAAAGTTTATTTAATTTTTATGAAAACTTTTTTGAGTGCCTAATAATTATAAGGTTCTTTTTAAAATTTTTCACATTTTGAATAATGTGATTTTTTTTTATATTAAATAATCTGAAATCTTCTGGTAAATTTTTTTTTGTGTGTCTGTGTTAATGCTTATTATTTAGCAGAATTCTTAAATCATCCTTGTACACTAAACTCTTTTCTTTCCAAACTATTTTATTTTTGTTGTTTTGTTGTTGGTTTTTGTGGTCTCACCACATAGCCCTGTGTGTGAAACATAGTCCTGAAATTTGCTCTGTAGACCAGACTAACTTTGAATTCACAGAGATGCCCTTGCCTTTGCCTCTTGAGTATGGGGAAAAAGGCATGTATCATCTCCATGCCTGGCCTAAACTTATTTTTTATATTACTTATAGCAGTGCTTTAAAAAGTTTCTCTTTGGGGCTGAAGAGATGGCCCAGCAGTTAAGTGTGCTTGCTGCAGGGCCTGGAGAGATGGCTTCGTGATTAAAAGCACTGGCTGCTCTTGCAGAGAACCCAGGTTCAATTCCCAGCACCTATATGGCAGCTAACAACCATCTGCAACTCCAGTTCTAGGGGATCCAACACCTTCTTCTGACCTGCATGGGCATTGCACAATATGGGTGCACTTACATATATGCAGACTATACATTCATACAAATAAAATAAGTATAATAAATAAAATATTTAAAGGAAAAAAAGAGTGTGTGCTGACCTTCCAAAGGACCAAAGTTCAGTTCCCAGCACCCATGTCAGTGTTTCACAACTGCCTGTAGCTCTAGCTTCAAGGAATCCGATACCCTTCTCTGGCCTCTAAGCACCCCACACAGGTGAGACACACAAGACACAGACCCGTACATTCAAAAGAATAATTAAAAATGATTTATATATATACATATATAAACTTTGTTATCATTTGATATGTATCTGAGATGATAAATGAAACTGTAATAGTAAATTTAGAAATGCCTAATGGATATTAATTACTTTTTCAGAGATTCCAGACATTGTAGATACACGTAATCTACAGACTTTTCGGTGAGTATCTCTGTTAATAGTTCCTTGGAAATTGAATGTAAAATCCATGAGGCAGAAACTGATGTTATTACTAAGAAGCATCAGAGTTTTCTGTTAACATTTCACTCTTCTCAGATGAAGTAAGAATTTCCACAGTTGTATTATTTACAGCATTTGATATGCACTGAAGTATCCAGTGTAGTATGTGAAAGATACCACTCTTCTCCCCTGATCTTACTCTATTTTTAAAAAGTAAAATAACAGCAACAGATGAATGGAAAATGCTGCCTGAAAGAATTTCTTCATTGAGAACCTTTGGTCCAGGGGTCTCTGAGTCTACCTTTCATAACCATGGGACCACTGAGCTGCAGAATTTTAGATTTTTATTTTCCAAACACAAATTTTGTTCATTTACTTATTTATTTTCATTGTATATTTTTATTGATTTTTTGGGGATCATACAATATCTCTTAATCATATTTAGATACCCCCTCCTCTATCTGCAGCTCCCCCCATAGCCCACCCACAGGATTTTATGCATTCTGTCTTATATGTTAAGGCCTATCAAGTCAAGTTTGTGTGCCCAGATGTCCCTTGGTGTGAGTTTATCCCATGGAGTCTGTTTATTAATAATTTTGGGCTTAATTAAGCCAGGTTAAAGGGTCCGAATTTTTTTTTCTTGAATTGAAATTGGATTAATTAAAAACTAGGCATAATGAAAACCAAAATGTGTTTCTTGCTTTTGAATCTGTGCTGTGTCTCTTTCAAGGAAAGCGAGACATGAGAGAGGAGATGAGCTTAGTGTGTTGGTACTGCTGGGTAGCAATCCATTCTCAGGATAGTCTTAAGACTTCTCCTCGGAGGTAAAGTTAGAGTTATCACAGAAAGATGATTTTAAAATGGGAAAATTTCTCATATAGCAGAGAAAAACTGTGGTTGAAAATTGGAAATTTCAACCATATTGAAAACTGGAATTTTTTACTTTCAAGAGTAACAGGTGTGTGAGACTCAGCTGCACTCACTGCGTGTGTGTGAGAAGAGCATCCTTTTGTGATTTATTTTGGAGGTTTGCTGGGGTCACATAATTCCACTTTTGAGGGTCTTGAGACTGTGTAGCCTGATAGGGGGAAATATTTAAGGTAGGGAGAGATGAGCTCCATAAAATCGTGATTTGTTCGTTGTTTGCTTGCTTTTGAAGTTTAGACTGTGTAGGAGCTCTGCAGGTGACTCTACTGTAGATTTGAGAAGACGAAATAAAAAGCAAGTCTTAGCTCTTAGGCTGTGGAATTTTTTTTTCTGGTTCATGTTTATCGGTCTTTCTCGTACATTTGGAATCTTGTAAGTTTATAGTCTTTCCTCTGCTACATTCAAAGTTCTGAAAAGTAACTGTCCTTGCTTTGTTTCCACAATGCTCAGCCCTGTATTCTCTTCTTTTTCTAGGGAATGGGATTTTGATCTGAAGAAATTGCCAAACATTAAAATGAGAAAAGTTTGTGCTAGTGATGCAGTTCCTAAGATGTGCAAAAAGAAAACTACTAGCTTAAGTATAGAGGAAGATTTATGGGCATTGGAACTAAGGGGGGAGACAAGTGACTCTAAAGAAGAGAAATCAGAACTAACAAGGGACTCGAGCGACTCAGATGAGGAGATGACTCCATTGCCTCCCTGCCCTTGCTTGCCTTGACAATAAATCATTTGAGACCTTTGAGCTCTGCGCCTTGATCGTGACAAATAATTCTCTGTATATGAGTCAGTGAGATGGCCCAACAGGTAGGGGTGTTTGCTGCTAAGCCTGATGGTCTGAGTTCAATCCTCAGAATTCACACAGAAGAAGACCAAGTCCTGTAAGTCATCTTCTGACCTTCATATGCACACCATGCGTGTATGTGCACACATACACATACATAAGCAATTTTAATAATTACCTAATAAGTAAGAGTTATATAAGTCTCATTTGAAATTCGTTATGAGTTTCAAAATTGGTATATGACTTAAAAGGTTGCTTTTTCATTTTCTTTACTTTTAAAATATAGAAATTGTATTAATCTGCTTCTTTTATAGGTAACTACCCAAAGCTGGGAGCTTATGATTATTTTTTAAAATATTTTTTTTTATTTATTTTTTTTTATTATTTTATGTGTATGAGTGTATTGCCTGTATGTATGTGAGTGTACCCGTGTCATGCAGTGCCGTGGAGGTCAGAAGAGGGCTTTGGATTCCCCTGGAATTGGAGTTAAGGATGGTTTGTAGCTGCCATGTGGGTGCTGGGCATCAAACCCAGGTCCTCTCCAAGGACAGTCAGTGCTCTTAACCACTGAGCCATCTCTCCAGCCCCAGGAACTTGCTTTTACAGGTTTCCTTAGGTTATAGTTTTGAAATATGAGCATCTGAATAAATAGCACAGTGCAGTTCTGGGGAGGCCTTTCTGGCTGCATCACACCACAGATGTGACGGGGGAGAGAACAGGCAAGGCAGGAAGCCAGAGAATGAGGAAGGGCTCCACCTGGCCACCTCTTAAAGTCCTACAATCTCTTAACATCACCATACTTGGGAAACATTTTCTAATGCATGAACCTCAAGGAGGACACATTGAAACTATATCCAACCATACCAGTGAGCTTCAAAAGTCTTTTATCTGGATGCTGTAGAGGGAAAAAGTAATGTAAGTGAAGTAGAGAAAAGTGTTTGGGGGTGAGGACAGTGGCTCAGTCAGTTTGTGCTACACAAGCATGATGACCTGAGTCTTGATCTCCAGCACACTAATAGAATTTCCAAGGGCTATGGTATGTGCCTGTAATCCCTGTGCTGAGTGGGTTGGAGACAGGCATAAACCTGAGGCTCACTGGCTTGCCAGCCTAGCTGATCAGTGCACTCTAGGTTCAGTGAAAGATGGAGTCAGAAAATAAGCTGATGAAGCAGTTAAGGAAGGCACCAGTGTCAGCCTCTGACCACACCACCTGCGGGTGCACTCACACACAAAAAATGTCAAGATTTTAATAATATTTAGGATTGCCTAGTGTCACACTTTGGGAAATAGACCTATTATCTAAAAGGTTACTTTTGTATTTCCTGAGTTGTGATGGCAAAACTGTATTTATTTTTTACCCGTGAGACAAGTTCTCCCTCTAGCCCCAGCTAGCCTGAAATTTCCTATGTAGACCAGGCTGGCCTCTGGCCTCGATCTCAGCAATCCACCTGCCTCTGCCTTCTGAGGGCTAGGATTAAAGGTGTGAGCCACTAGTTCTTTTCTCAAACTAACTTACTAACCTTATAAAATGGAAACTGATGTGAAATTCATATTCACCAATAAATTGTGCATTATTTATTCTGAGGTAGAGCTAAATACTAGAGACAAATAGTGACTATCGTGCTGATCTTCTCTTAATCCTTTGACAGAGGGAGTAAAGAATTTCAGGCAAGTTCCTTTTCTGTTGAATATCGTTTTCTGTTTTTTCATTGTGAAAGTGAGACCCCATGACAGAACTAAAGATCAGCGAACCAATGGTTTTAACTGTGTTGTTTCTTCTGAGAAATATTTGAGTTGGTTGATAACTCATATTTTAATGTCACAAAAAAGGGTTAATTTAATTTATTAGTTTGTCCATAGAACTGAAGTACAGGCAAGTCTTTTAGTGGATGCAGTATAAGGGTGTTATTAAGAAAAGGGAAAAAGTTCTGTATACAGTTAGCTAGACATCAACCTTGATAACAGATTTTTAAAAATAAAAGTGTTAATAGCTTTTTTTACTTCTGAAAATAAATTTGTAGTTTATTTAAGTTCTAATTTATTTTCACTGATGTAACTTTAGTAATATAAAATTTTTAAAAAATATTTTATTATTTTTATTTGATGTGTATGAGTGTATTGCCTGCTTGTATGTGAGTGCATCTGTGTCGTGCAGTGCTGCAGAAGTCAGAAGAGGGCTTCAGATTCTCCTGGAACTGGACTTAAGGACAGTTTGTAGCCACCATGTGGGTGCTGGGAATTGAACCTAGGTCCTCTGCAAGAGCAGTCAGTGCTCTTAACCCCTGAGCCACAATTACACCATAATTTAATATCTTTTCAGTTGTTGGTAAGTCTCAGTCTCTGTCTCTGTCTCTCTCTTGTCTCTCTCTCATACAGATAAGAGCTCCTGCTAACTTACAGAAGTGATTTAGTGGCCTGACCTTCAAATCTTAGTTCCTGGTTTTCCTTGTGCTGTGAACACAGGAAGTATAACCAGCAAGCTACACTGCTGGGAACCAGGACAGACAATTGTTTGTTGAGTACACGAAGGCCTGGAATAATCAACATCATGCCACTCTTGGGAGTGTCAGAGTAGCCTAGGAGATGGCTTGTTTTTAAAGTGATGTCTTTTAATTCTTGTCTGTAGTACACTTCTTTCTGCAGTAACTTTTGCTGCGTGTACTAGACCCCTTTTAAGTCAGTAGCACATCTTTTCTTCCATAGTCCATGGCCGTGGAACAAAGTAAAGGTATTTACTCTGTGTGTGTGTTACCCATCTTTTTAAAGTATACAAGTACATAAAGTGGGCTACAGGCTGGACTGACTTGTCAGATTGCCAACTTCCATCCAAACGTACAATTTAGACTTCTACAGAGGTAGGCTTATGATACTTTCTAGTTCAGCTAACTCACATATGTGCTCTATGTGTTCTCTTTTCCAGATGGCTTAGTCACTTCCTTGTTTTACTGACAAAGGTGTCCCTTTGGGGCTCTGTTCACCTCAAATATGAACTTCTGTCTTATAAGAATCTGGCTGTGTGTTGCCTTGTGTCCTGAAAATTTAAGTGAGACTCAAAGTACAGACTGATTTATTTGATAGAGGAAATTCATATAGCTTCACATGAAGCCTATAGCATGACTTTTACTCTCTGCTTTTAGTCAGGTTTACAGTGAGAATTGACATCAAAGATGAGATAAATATTTGAGAAACATGTCAGTTGTAAGCAAGCACATTTGAAGTGGATGGAGCAAGTACAAATAAAAGAGCTACAATTGCAAAGAGATTAGCCATATTAAAGGGAACCCTAAGACTTTGCCCTGGGAAGATAGGAAAGGTACCTTGAGGGTAGACCCCTTCTGATCAAGGTTCCATGGTCTAAAACTCTGAACCCATTGGGTGAATTATTTGAAACTCATTTGAAAGGGGAGCTGAAGGGAGGTCCTGTTGGAAAAGGGCCACCTGAAGATGTTTTTCTGCACTCCTCCATACTGTCGCTCAGAGGTTGCTGCACCCTTTGTGCAAGGGAGGCAGTTACATCTCAAGCTGGTAGGATAACAGCCTTATCCATTTGATTGTTTTACAGGCAGGATGGCATCATGGAGGGTTATGCTAAGACTCTAGAAAACAGTTGATGAGGCCAAGCAGTGTGCCACAAGGTCAGATTCCTTGTAGGATGTTCTTCAGTGGGTTGGTGATGCTTACATTGCAGTGAAGACCTGTGTCAGAGGCTGCTGCACAGAGTGGTTGGTACTGGCTATGAGCAGCACACTGAAGGAAAGGAGCAGGCTACCCAGTCCATTGCTACCATGTACCCTGGAGGCCAGACAGAGCTGTGCTGGGCATCAGTCTTGCTTTGGTTAATCTTTCCTTCATAGCTTGCTGTTCCTTACTTTGCAATGGGGGTGTTTACTGTGTGTCATTGTATATTGGAAGTGTGTAACTTGTTTTTGATATTACACAGAATCACACCTAAGTTTGCCTTGATTCTCAAAACAAACTTGAGCAGTGTTGGGTCTGTTAAGACCATGGGGACTTTTGAAGTCTAAGTACGTTTTGCATTATGAAATGGCTTTGAGCCTTTGGGGGCCAAAGGCAGAATGCTATGGTTTGAATTTTTGTTTGTTATTTTATTTTGAGACCAAATCTCTCTGTAGCCCCAGCTGCTCTGAAACTCACTATATAGACTACGATGGCCTCCCTCCATCTCTCAGAGATCCAGAATTAAAGGCGGGTGCCACCACACCCAGCTATGGTTTGAACTTTAAATGTTCCTAAAGGCCCACACTTAGTAGTGCTATTTTGAAGGTGGTAGAGTGTTTAGGGGGCAGAGCCTGCCTGGCAGTTGTGATCACTAGGGTCAGTTCTTTGCAAGCTGTATCTGCCCCTGGATTCAGTCTAGCTCTGCTGTCCATGTGCTGCCATGGGAGAAATCTCACAAGGTTCTGCTGCATGAGCTATGACGAACTGAAATTGCTTTGAAACTGAGCTGGAATATGCCTTTCCTCCCTTAAATTGGTTCTATCAGGCGTTTGATTACAGCAACACAAAGGTAACTAATACAACTTGCAAAAATCAATCTGGGTAACACGTTTTCTTCATGCCTATTTCCATTCAGCAGAATGTTGCTAAAGAATACCAGTCAGAAGGCTTTTTGTGGGGCTGAAGATACGGCTCAGTGGTTAAGATTCTTGCAGATAATCTGGGTTTGGGTTCCCAGCACCCAGAGGGTGGCTAACAATTTTCTGAAACTCCAGTTCCAGAGTATCCAATGCCCTTTTCTGGCCAGAAAAGTCTTTAAAAGACTTTTCATGTGTCCATTTGTCTCATGTGGATTATCAGTTCTATATGCTGTTGACCTGTTCTTTGCCTAACTTTAATTATTACTTTTTCATTTTCTGTTTGAATACTGGTTTGCTGAACATTTATTGCCTCTTTGCACAGTAAGAAGCCACCATTTTATTCCTTTGATGTGACAAATGGTGTATCTTTTTCATTTCTCAGACAAGCAGATCCTGTTCTCTAGTGTTTTCTTAGAGTCCTTGATCCTGACAACTATTTCACATAATTTCTCATTAGAATTTTTCCTATAAACCTGTCCTTTGAATCCTGTAGTAAATTACATTCTCTAAACAATGTAACTTAGGAAACTGCATGCATATAATAGATATGTGCGTACACATGCCAGGTGTAAGGACACTTGAGTGCAGCTCTTCCTTGGGAAACCCACACCTATGTACTTGGAGGCTTCATTCTTTCACTTTTTAATAAATCCAACCCTGCTTCACATTGGCTTGTCCTGAAACCCTTTGTTGAAGCAGTGAATCTCACTTTTGCTAGGGTGGAAGTCTCTGAAAACAACAACCCAGGGTGCTGTAGGTGGCTGCGTGGGGAGGAACTGTGTCCCCATTCCTCTCACTCTTAGCAACGATAGAGCTAGGGGGCAGCCTTTTACTGACACCCTTCATTTGGTTAATGTATATATTTGTTCTTTTCTATAATGTCCCAAGTGTTACAGTTAACATTGGAAGCCCATTAAGAGAAAGTTATTTTTGAGACCCATTAAGAGAAAGCTGTTTCCTCTTGCTCAAGAATGGAATCTACCTCTGGCCTTGATGGAGAACTACTATTCCAAGGTACCCAAAACTAAGAATTAATCCACTTGGCCAGATCAATCACCTAGATACAGGACCATCTCTTTGGAAAGCCAATCTTCCTTAATCAAAATGGAAGGCATAACTATTCCTTTAATAGATCAGATAATGTACTTTTCCTTCCTAGAAAGTCTGCTCTTGATGTAGGTGATTCAGAGCCGTTATGTCATGAAGCTCTGTTAGGTCTCCCTGCCCTTCAGAGTCCTCACTCAGAAAGGTGTAACTTTTCCTTCTTCTTCTTTTCTGTCTCTGATACTGGCTTGAGTGTGGGCATGCTTGTTAGGGAAAGAGGAATTTACTGCTTGTCTGAATTTACTGCTTGAATTTACTTGTTTGAATTTACTGCTTGTAACCAATTAACTCAACTGGAGACACAGGCATCCGGAGCTAGGGGCAAGTGCTGCAGCCCCCGGAGCCTGACCTGTCTGATCTGTGTCGTGTCACGTAGGCATGTCTGCTTACACAAGATAACAGGGAAAGGTTGTGCCAGGCACATACCACCCATCCCTCCCTGAATGAGACACCTGAAGGGAGTTGTAACATTTTTCTTGTTTTGAAGTTACTGGTTTGTGAAATGCTTGCTTTGAAACTATTGGTTGTATAAGCGCAGGCTTTTGTGTAACGGTTGTGGGAGCCTATATAATCTTTACCTGAAATTCGCTCGGGGTCGATCACTCCAACCAGACCTGCATGTCTTGGAAGGACGGTCAGCCCCAGCTAGCTGGTTTAATAAAACTCTGCTTGATTTTTGCATCTCCATACTCGTGCATTTGTTCTCCTGAAGAGACCCACCAAGTCACGGACCCTAACATGCTCTCTCTACTACTTGGGACTTTCTCACTCCTCTGAGGACCTCCCTCCCCATCAGATGGCTGCTTGTCTGCATGTGTCTGATCTCCATTACTAAACATCAGTTTAACTTGAAGGGCACTGCTTTCCCGTCCTCTTCATCTCCTTTCCCCCTGAGATAAGGTTTCCGACTTGCTTGCACTGTTGATTTTCTCTTAAACACTAATCAAATCGTCCTGGAGCTTCCTTCCAAGTATGTTCAAAATTCTTCTGTTAACAAGACTAAGGAACACTGAAAAGGGACCCCAACTTCCCAAGTAATTGTGACAGTCCAGGTAGCACTCCCCAGATTTTCCCATAATAACACAAGGGTGATCAGTACACATTTGTCATAATTATGTTCAGACCCTGCTTAGAAACCCAGACCACTATCACATCTTAAATCAAGAATTTAAGGGCTTTGAATGTTAGAGATTCTTTGCAGAAATCCTAGTATAAGAGGCAAAAAGTAGGCAAACTGCAACCAAAATTTGGGAGCATTTGTTTAATATACAAAGTCTTTCACAGATAATTGTTTTCCTTAGTTTGTCTTAAGCACACATTATTCACAAACAGTAAATTGTTAATGAAAGACAATTAAGTCAAACTAAAGAAGTACAAATGCCCAATCTCGAAAATTACACACAGTTCAATTTTTTCTCCTTTGTTTCAGTGTTACATCTAATTTCAACATGGGCTTTCTTCAGAGGTGGGGCCACTGCAACCCAGATCACAGCATTTGCCTTCAGTTGTATTGATTTGTAAAATAGCACCATTGAATTGATTTAAGGAAAAAAGGTTTTCATCTTTCTTAATTAAAATAGAATCCTTGTAGAATTTTGTAACAAATGCAATAAGTTTTAAGTCCTTTACTGTGTTCCAAAATACTCATTGGCAAGGCAAGGCAAATTCTATGGCAGATGGAATAAATAACCTTCCCACCTCAAACCCCTCCACATTGTAATTTCTCTTAATGATGTCATTGTACTAATGAGCTAATTTTCAGTCGAAGAATAGATGTTTAAAGGGTTCCCAGGAACCTTTTGCAAAAGGAATACTATATAAAGATTGTCTGTGGGAGGGTGATCACCAGAAACAGTAACTCTTGAATAGACTTGATACTAGAACATTCTGAGAAAGACTCTATTTCCTCAAGGCTATATCCCAGATTATTGGAATTGCTTCTCTTTTATGATTTTTTTCCTCCTCATTTTTGTAGGTTTTTGTTATTATTGTTTATACTTAAGTTTCCCTGTCTTTGGGGCTTTACATTTAAAATGTTTTTATTTCATTCCTTTTCAATTGGATCTTTAATTGTATGTAATGAAAATGTCAGCTCTTAATAAAAAAGGTTAACATCTTAAACAGGTTCAATGTTTATGGTGTTGCTAATACCACACCTTAATGTCATGTTTATAAAAATCCAAAGTTTTAAAAAACTAAATCTCTTCTGCATTTCAGTACTTTGTTTCTGTTTCACTTTTTACATGAACAGGTAAGACATGCATGCCTCAAGGTATTGTTATTTTGTAAAGCACGTTTTCTCTTTGAGAGGTAAATCAGGCCACTAAAAACCAAACCCTTGTTTGAAAGGGCAGATGCATACCAAATGTGAAAAGAGGTTTTCAGTATTGGGCTTTTTCATTTATTTTTTTGAGGCTGGCCTTAAACTCAAACTCACCATGTAGCAGAGGATCACTTTGTTCTCTAACCCTATTACCCCCACCTCACAAGTGCTAGGATTACAGGGGAGCCCCACTGCATCCAGCTCCAACACTGGCTGTTATATGAATGATTATTTCACATTATTTGAATCATAAACACTAGTTTCAGGGAAGTTTTAATGAAATCTTTTCTGTAGTAGATTTTTAAAGCTCCAGTTTAGGGTTTTAAGAGGTTAAAAATATATATAGCAGAATAAATGTTGACTTTTTAGCTGCCAGGAGCTGGGTTTTGTATTCATTTGAAGAAAGGCAAAGTCTATATACGGTCACTTTAAGAATTTAGCTATCATTTAAAACACCATATTATCTTTTCTCATTAATGCAACAAGGTTTATATTTGCTTTTTATTTTAGTATGTTTTCTTAGTATTAGTGTACCCCTTGATAATTGAGGTTTTAGTTGATCCTCTCTGAAATAACTATGTACTTACCTATCTTGCTTGTAAAACAGAAATTCTGTGGTAATTAAAGTAAATATTCCCAGAACAAAAAAAAAAAAAGATAACTCAATATTACTTTGCACTGGCTAGGTTTTTTCTCCAGGAATATTTGTAAATAAAATTGCCATTGCTAAACCCCCGAAAACACAGATTAGTAAAAAAACTGGGGGAAATTAACAGAAAAACTGAACCAAGTATAATCCCTTGTATGGTGTGAAGGTTAAGCCATCCAAACCTTTGTTATTCAAATTTATCTTAAATCTTTCAGATGGAAACTCAGCAGGAGATTAATGCAAAGTTTATCAGATTTTTAAAAGTGTTACTTAAGCCCTTATTGGGGCTGAAGGTCTGGTCTAGTTTCATCACCTCCGTTTTGTTTTCTCTGCACATTTACTCATGTCCTTCCTACAAGGTTTAAGAAAGATAAGTTTTAAACCTATTGTTCCCTGACTGACTGAATACCTTAATATCTCTCTCAAATATATACATGAATATACATGTCACACACACACACACACACACACACGAGTTAACATTGTTTACTGGTTCTTTATTTCTAGGAATGGGACAATTAGGACTGTGTCAATCACTGAAAACATCACTCTGTCTTTCTTCTTGTGGAAAGGATATTTTTGTCCTTTCTCCTTTGATAATCCGTGAAGAGCAAACACTGATAATTACAAAGTGCATTGATGTGGTACCCAGGTTGTGCAATGCGATGCCTATACTTGGTCCTTATGGCCATCTCTGCCTTTTCACCACAGTAAATGACAGCTGACAAAATCCACTTTTAAAGATGTAGGTCATCTTTCTTTGATGGGTCACTATTTTAATAATCCTTTAGCTTCCTCCAATTTCATTCATACCAGTTTTCTCTGCCTGTGTAAAGACCCCAGTAATCAACTATTGCAGCTTAGCAACCTGTGGATTACTTACCACAGAATCTCTTGGATAGTTTTGTTTCTCAGCTGAGCAAGGGAAATATTGTCAACTTTTTAATCATAGAGTTGAGGTTCTTGTTTATGATGCTTATCTATTAAAATGACATGTCATAAGATTTTAGAACCTTAACACTTTAAACAACAAAAATGCTTAATTTTTATTGCCCTATCATAATTGCTTTATAAGTACCAAACAAGTTAATTTCATAACATTGCCTACAGACTCTGATCTCCCTATAGTTTTGTTTTCTTCCCCTTTTTGAGAAATGGTAGCTTTATCTAATTCAAACCAGAATACTTAATTTGATGACTTCAGTGCTTTGTAAAATCATAACCTTTAAATGATACATCAATACAAAAGAAGGAATTAACCTGCTGCTTTGAAATATTCAACTGTTAAAAGAAATAGAGGTTTGTCTCTAGTGCTAGGGCTATGTTGTCCAGTACACTTAATTAACATCCTGCCCAGTATACTTCAGTCAGATTCAATTGTGTTGGAAATATGTGCTGGATTTTGAAGACTCGGTTCCAAAAACTAAAGGTGTAAGCTGTTTTAATAATTGTTTCCACTGATGATGTGAGATAGCTTGTATATATAATGTTAAATAATTGAAATTAATCCTTTTTTTTTTTTTTTTACTTTTTCTATTGGGGCTAACTAGAAAAATTAAGGTTTTCATTTGTTGCTTATATTTGTAGCTTACGTTACATTTCTATTGCCCAGCACTGTGTAAGAGACCAGAAAAAATACAGGTTGCTTTCAACTCCTGTGGGAATTTAACAGAGCTAAATTAAACTCCAGAATTCCCTGAAAATCTTTTGTTCATGACTTAAACATAATTCCAAACATTTCTATCTTCAAATGTATATTGCATCCATTTAAAAACATGCATCTGTCAAAGTAACCAGACTTCACAATAGCCGAAAAAAATCAGCTGTCAAAGTGTAAAAAACACGGGTCCTCCACGTTTGCTTCCAGTACGACTTAAGGATGATGCAGACAATTTCAGGCTTAAGACCGAAGATGTTTGTTATTTCCGGTGGAGAGAGTTAACGTTACAAAACCCTAAAAGAAACACACATTGCAGTTGAAGTCTGTGTTCTTGAATTCCTTCCCCACTACTCTGAAGAATATCACGTGTCCATTAAATCTTGCGTCACTTACTAAAAGCACTCCTTGTATGGATCATTCTTTACTGTCCTAGAACTCGTTCCCTAGCAAACTTCCCTTTCCGTGTCCCACCGTGGGCTCTGCTTCATGCGTTCCCTTTGATGTTCTCTCCTCATTTCCTTTTTGAGCCAATTCAGCAAAAACAAGTCAGTAGGGCAAAGGAGAAGATAAGGAGGCCACCAGAGCTTTATCACTTCTGTCTGTAGTGGCCGAGGGCTGGAGAGATTCCTTTCTGTGACCTCTGCTAGTTCCATCAAACGGGTATGACTTCAGGCGGGGCGCCCTCTGCAGGCGGCACTGAGTTTGAGCCTGTCTGTGGCACAGGTACCGCCACAGCATCCTTGATGTCTGTGTTCACGTGACAGGAGAAGTTCTTCTCCAGCTTGTTGACAGTGTCTGGGCAATTTTGCACAAAGATCACACGGTTGTAGGCCTTCAGCCTGCGCCACAACTGAATGTAGACTTTACACTGTACGTACATGAAGACCAGACCGCCCGTGAAGCCAATGGCCACCACAACTAGTTTTGTCCAAAATGGCCATTCAAGGACACCTTTGAGATAAAAAGAGAAGGTGTTATCACAAAGTTCACTATCACAAAGTAAAAACATGAATACATTTCGTCTCTTTTCCCACCATAACCCCTTCAAAAGTGCATACCTGCTTCTTGAATTATTTTGTACCCTAAGATTAGACAAAAGGAACAGGGTCAATTTGTGGTCCTCCACACAATGAAACTGGGCATTTTCAACATGTCCAGAGTCCCCAGGAAAGACAATGTCACCCTTTTGTTCACAGAGCTGATGTTGCAAGTTAACTAAGTCAGGTGTGATGATTGTCCACTGCCGCAAAACAATGCAAGCTTAGTAACCCTGGGACATTTTTTTTTCATATTTTCTTTTAAATACCTGTTCTGTGTGTCATTTGGGAAGCTATTCTTTCTGAAATATGACTTCCCTGAATCTTTTATATGTAAGTATTTTTCTTTTAAAATGCTTTGCCTCTAACTCTTCCTTTGAAAGTGGGGAAAATACTCTCTGAACAAAAAGAATTTGTGCTATTGGCACACACACACACACAAAAAATCTCCCACTGCTGTTGATGCTGCATTGATTTATTGCACTGTTTGGCAGTGGTCACCTAAATGTATTTCTGCGTTTCTTCCAGTGATCTGAAACTTAGTTTTACAGTAGATTAAAAGTACGCAATAGAACTTACTAGACCCTTTATGGCTAGCAAAGAAGTTTCCTTCAACCACTTTATCATTTGATTGATTCATATTCTCAGCATTCTGAACATGTACTTGAGTCTAATGGGAAAATACTTAAAAATATCACTAGGAGAAATAGATAATAAGTCTATTATCAAAGATTCCATTCTAGAGCAGGAAGCACTGGGCCTGGATAGTTTTAATAGTGGATTCTACTAAATGAAATGCTTTCCCAACACTGTTCTGAAGAAAAGAAGCCTATTATAAATGAATACATCCTTATGGAACTGGTCTTCTGAGCCACGCTTCATCCATACTTTTATTCAAAATGCATCTACAGCATAGTTGGGAGCTACAGTTTCGCTTTGATCCCCAGGTCTAAGATATCTCATACACAGAATGTTATGTCACGTACTTCTCAACTCTCATGACTTCCAGTGATGATATGAATATGGATATACTGCTTCCATCACTCTGATATGCTAATTCAAGCACTCCCACATTCATCCACTGTCTCTGGTGGAGGGCAAAATGAGGTCCTGAGGGACAAATGTCAGGTGCCCAGGTCGCAAGTTCACCTTGTGAGTATGTGTGCATTATAAACAGCAGTTTGGGGGTGCAAGGGCAAGTAAAAACAGTCCAGATTCTGTCTATACTGTAAGTCATTCCTTCACCCAAAGTGTTAGCGAAAGCAGGTCCAGTCTCTGGCCAGTATCTCAAAGGAAGCAAAAGAGAGCAAAAGAATGACTATGAATATTAAATTAGGACAGGTCCTGGAAGTTGTCTTGACTGCCTAAGTCATTACTTGGGAGAACTAACTGGGATCTTAAGGCCTTAGACTCTTTAAAGGAACAGAGTAAATTGGTATCTTTACTTAACAGAAGACTGTTTTCTGTGAGGTTTGACAGAGTTTCACTCTGTAGCCCAGGAACTCACTTTGCATCGCAGGCTGGTGTTGAACTTGGGGAAATTCTCTTGCCTCAGCCTCTAGAGTGTTGGAATTATAGGTATGAACCACACCACTTGACTAGAAGATGTATGTGGTTCATACCTATAATCCCAACACTCTAGGTCCAAATGTGTGCACCGCCCCCCCCAACACACACAGAGGCCAGAGGAGTGCAATTTGTCTTTATACTCAATTTTTTTGCACTAGTGATTTTCTATGCTTTCTTCTGTGAAGAGGAGAGACTGTTCACAGTAAGGAAGGGCAGTGATAGAGAAGACAAGACTGGACATCTTGCTCCCAAATAACCCAGGAAATGCTTTGTGGTTTGTAATACATATTTACAGATATGCCCTGAATTTGGAAGTGCCACAAGTAAAAGGTTGTTTTCAGTTTGGAGGAAGACTTTGGAAAATACACCTTCAGCCAGTTCAATCCCCTGCTCATTTCTCTGAAGCACAGAATTCACTTCTATTGTTGCCTCTGAACTCAACATCTCTATGGGTTCACCGAGAAATTCTGCCAAGCTCTGTTTCCTGAATATTAATGGAAAACACTATATGGAAATTCTTCGACAAAAATTGGAAAAGAAAATCTTCTGTCTACTGTTATTTTCTGAAGAACTAGGAATCTTCTGTCACAATAAGTACAGTTGGTTCATTTGCATTCCATAATGCTAATTACACAAGAATGGGCTGTTAGGTCTCAGTCTCCATTTATGATTATTCAGTCCTTCCAGGCCTCCTTTTTATGACTGCATATAGGTGATGTGATGCTTAAGGGCTGGGACATTGGAATATGCCATGGCAAAGCAGTTGGCATGTTCTTAGATTTCCCAGAAAGGCTTAGGATGATCTGTCGTTTGTCCTTCAGTATGATGCTGAAAGTGTCACGGATTAGAATTAGAGGAATCAAAATGCTAAATTACTTATGCTTGGAGGTGCAGTGATGCCAGAACTACAGACATCAGCCGACGATTTATAAGACAGTGTGCAAACCCAATAGTCAAAGGAAAACATAGATGCCCCAGCTCATTCTAGGCTCTTGGGAATCTCAGCCATAGCTACCATAAGACTTGGATGGTGAATATAACTGCTCACTTATCTGTCTCCCTTCACCTGCTCAAAGCAAGCTCAGAGAGTCTATGGAGATGGCTTTCCTAATCACTGGTATTCATTACTGTGTCTGGGACACAGTGGACAAGTCAGTATGTAGAAGGAATGATAGAGTTTGTATGCCTTGTATCCAAGATTTCCCACTCTTTGTAGAATTTTCTTTGAAATACTTATTTCTTTCTCATTTTCTTATGGGTGGGTGCAATATTTCAGACCATGAATGTTCCTAATGAAATCAACACTCACCCCCCAAAAAAATGTTTGGAGTTGGGGATATAGCTCAGTTGGTAGAGTGTTTGCTGAGCATGTATAAAACCCTGAGTTGGATCATGAACACCACATAAACAGGATGTACTTGAGCGATCTGGAGGCAGAAGCAGGAGGCTCAGGAAAGTTCAAAGTCATCTTTGGCTACAGGGTAAGTTCCAGGCCAGCCTGGGCCACATGAGACTCTTAAAGAAAAAAACTTAATGATAATCAAGGATCAGTTTTCATATGTACAGATGTATAATCTTTATGCATTATTTCCAACTTTATATAGGCAGCTGGGAATGAGATCATTTTTACCTTTGGTATTCAGAGCTCTTAAATTAGGAAGATATTTGTGGAGAAGCAGGGTGTGTGACTTGCTACAGAACTATGCACTGGTGGTACAGCTCCCAGGACACATGGAAACCATGGTGATTCTCATAAAGGGAATCACTTGTGTATGTGTTCCAGTTGCATTTAAACCTTACTTCCCACATACACAACCCAGGGAAGTGTGGGCATCTGTATGTATTGTCAGTGTTTTAATCTTCCTCTGGCATTGTGAGTGCCAATCCTGAATTTACCTTTGAAGTTATTGGAGAAAAACTCCATAATTTAAAAAGCCAACATGTTTTAAAACCATCTTGAAAACCTTCAAAAATATTTGAAGAGGAACGAATTGTCCTTTCCAGCCAGAATTGAGGTTTAATATAAAACAGCAAAATCATTTGAACTATAGTTAACCGCATTGGAATGAAAAGCCCTTCATGTGCCTTAAAACAGTTGTTCTTTTAGATTAAACATACTCAGTGCCCCCAGAAAGCTCTCTCACCTCCTCTTTCTCTTTACCTATAACAAAAGTCATTAAATATATAGTACTTGAAACATTAACACTCTAAATTATTGTTGCTGACACTTTAATTGGGCAGCAATTGACCCTCCTGCCTTATCTAGACAAATGTTCTGGTATGTAATTTTCTTTGCTAAAAACAAAACACACAGATTAAAAACATTGGAACAGCCATTTGTACTATGGACTAAATACAAGGATTATGGATTTTCTTTTGAGACTTTAGAGCAGTTATATGTAAATATTGAGATCTCAAGTATAGGACCCAAGCCTAAATGTGAAATTCATTTATGGTTCATGGACACCCAGTACACACAGCCTGAAGGTATTTTATATGTATTTTGAGTTTGTCTTCATTTTGACTACAGCCTTTCCCATGAGTCATCATGTCAATGCTCAAAACAATTTGGATTTCAGGTTAGGGAGACTCAACCTACATTAAAGACACTGTAGGTGCAGACAATAAAGTTGCCCCAGAATCATTTAAATGTATACACCACAGAGACACACAGACAGGTTGACTTTGTTTTCATGACTGACTCCCTGTGAGCAGGACCTCTTCAGGCATCATGCCCCATTATGCAGAGAGCACTTGGCAATAGGGAAAGTTGAAAAGTTTGCTAGCTGTGGCTGATGCCAAGAGAGAAGAGCCCCAATGACAGACACTGGTCTAGACTGGTTGTGAGAAGGCATGGGTTCTAGTTGGGTCTTGATCCATGGCAGTTGAAGGCAGTCATCTCTCTGAAGCTCTGTTTTCTTGTTTGTGAAATAAGAAGGCTGGACTTCGTGCCTCCTGGAGATGTTTTATCTGACTCATTTTCAGGCATTGTGAACTTGATTTTGCATCAGGTGAATAGAAATGTGTTTAAATAAGTGGCATGCCTACATCATTCATAATTTCTTTACACAGAATTTTAAACTTGAATGCAAAAATTTTGTATTTTAACTTTAGAAGAAATTAAGGAAAGGATAGAGTATGTTGTTGCTTAATTTCTCCCACCAGAAAGGAGAAATCAGAGAGCATCAGCTCATACCCACCTTCCCCTACGCTTTGTGTTTTTCTGTTGCTGTGATTCAACACTGATCAAAAGTAACTTGGGGAGGATTTTCATTCCCAGGTCACAGTTCATTACTGAGGTTAGTTAGAGCAGGAACTGAAGCAAAGGCCAGGGAGGAATGCTGT